GCAACCCCAGACACACACTGAGCACATTGTTGTATACTGCGGCTCATAAGAAATCTAACAGGAGGGGCTGGGAAGGTGGCTCAGTGGTAGAGCGCTTGCCTTGCATGCCTGAGGCCCTGGGTTCGATTCCTCAGCACCACATAAGCAAAAAGAAAAAAGCCAGAAGTGGCGCTGTGGCTCAAGTGGTAGAGCGCTAGCCTTGAGCTGAAGAGCTGAGGGACAGCACCCAGGCCCAGAGTTCAGGCCCCACGACCGGACCCAAAAAAAAAATCTAACAGGAGATCAGGAACCCATTAAATGAACTGAAAATGTTGACCCAATGCAATGAGGCACAGATAAATGAAACTTGTCCTCTCATTTCACACAGGGCCCTGCTCTTCTCCACAGAGAAGTCTTTTCTGACCACCTCAACAAGCTACTTCCCTCCACTATCCTCTGGCATTTGACCCAGTTTCTTTATTCTTCACAACGCTTATTTATATTATGTCATGTAAGCCCCCATAAAGACAAGGGCTTTTGCTCTATTCATCGCTGCATCTTTGGCCTTTAGAAGACTGGCCACAGAGCAGGCACTCTGTAGGTATTTGTGAAGGGAATGAATGAGGTGTGCCTGTGATTTTCTGTGAGCAGAAAGTAGGAGTTAGGGTTCAGTTTGACCTGGTTCTAGAGAAGGTGACAACTGAACTGAGTTCTTAGGCCTGGGTTAGGCAGCCCCTTTAGAGCCTATACTTTTTATTAGATTACATTAGTTATACAGGGGAGAGGGGTAGATTACACTGTTACATTCATTATTCCATTTCTTTTTAAAAAATTGCTATTATAAAGGTGATGTAAAGCAGGATTACAGTTACAGAAGTCAGGTACTGAATAGATTTCTTTTTGGATAATGTCACTCCTAACCTTGCTTTCTCCCAGTTTTTCCCTCCTGTCCCAAACCACAATACATTTCTTTTTTTTTTTTCTTTGTCGGTCATGGGGCTTGAACGCTGTCCCTCAGCTCTTCAGCTCAAGGCAAGCACTCTACCACTTGAGTGCCACTTCCGGTTTTCTGGTGGTTAATTGGAGATAAGAGTCTCATGGACTTTCCTTGTCTGGGCTGGATTTGAACCACGATCCTCAGATCTCAGCTTCCTGAGTAGCAAGGATTACAGGCGTGAGCTATTACCACCCAACACATTTCTTTTTTATTGTGATTTTTTGGCAGCACTGAGGTTTGAACTCAGGGCCTTGTACTTCCTAGGCAGGTATTATACAACTTGAGCCAGGTCCCTAGCTCTTTTGCTTTTTCATTAATTTTCAGATGGAGGTCTCACATTTTTGTCAGTGGCCAGTCTCAAACTATGATCTTCCTTCCTATACCTCCCCATGTAGATGAAATGACAAGTATGCACCACCATATCTAGCTTCTTTGCCCAGGTTGGCATGAGCTTAACAAGGATTCCAGGCAAAAGCCCACCATTCCTAGTTGATAGGCTTTTTAAAACATAAAATGATGGGCTGGGGAAATGGCTTAGTGGTAGAGTGCTTGCCTAGCATGCATGAAGCCCTGGGTTTGATTCCTCAGTACCACATGAACAGAAAAGGCCAGAAGTGGTGCTGTGGCTCAAGTGGTAGAGTGCTAGCCTTGAGCACAGAGAAGCTCAAGGACAGTGCCCAGGCCCTGAGTTCAAGCCCCAACATTGGCAACAAAAAAAAAACAACAACATAAAATGATTCTAGAAATAGTCTTCTTCAAGATTTTCATCTTCAAAGAAACAATACACAGACAGCCAATTGTTTGCTCCCAAAAACCTAATTCTCGTTTCTATAGAAGTAATAATGCTTATTTTAGCAAAATTTATAGTGACAATGATGAAACTTGAGAAAGTTATTATCTGTGTAGGGACCATGAGTCAAGATACCAGGCAAAGATAGGAAAGCCTTGAAAAACTCTTGTCTGTTCATGTAATCATCTCAAATTAACAAAAGAGTCATAATACTGGGCTGGGAAGGTGGCTCAGTGGTAGAGCGCTTGCCTTGCATGCATGAGGCCCTTGGTTCGATTCCTCAGCACCACATAAGCAAAAAGAAAAAGCCAGAAGTGGCGCTGTGGCTCAAGTGGTAGAGCTCTAGCCTTGAGCTGAAGGACAGTGCCCAGGCCCAGAGTTCAGGCCCCACGGCCGGACCCCCCCCCAAAAAAAAGTCGTAATACTTAGAAGTAACACAGAAGTAGATTATAAAGCTCACATAATAAACTTAGAGAGAGGCTGGGAATGTGGCTTACTGATAGTGGTTGCCTGGCATGAATGAAGCCCTGGTTTTGATTCCTCAGTACCACATAAACAGAAAAAGCTGGAAGTGGAGCTTGGCTCAAGTGGTAGAACACTTGCCTGGGGCCTGAGTTCAAGCTACAGGACTAGCAAAAAAAATTTTTTTAAATAAACTTAAAGAAGTTTCAGGAGAATAATACCATAACCAAAAACAAGCAGTACTACCATAGAAAAAAATTTAAAATAAAAAAGTAAAAGGTTAGGTGTTGGTAACTCACATCTATAATCCTAGCTACTCAGGAGGCTGAGAACTGAGGATTATGGTTCAAAGCCAACCTAGGCAGAAAAGTCCATGAGCCTCTCGTCTCCAATAAATTACTCAGAAAAGTTGGAAGTGGCACTGTGGCTCAAGTGTAGAACACTAGCCTTGAGTAATCAGAGCTCAGGGACAGCACCAAGGCCTTGAGTTCAGGCCCTAGGACCAACACACACACACACACACACATATACACAAACACACACACACACAAATTAAAATGCTGTTAATTCTGTGATGCAATATGGAAGGGTATATTATGAGAGACAAACAGACACATCAACTAGCAAGTATTACTAGCCTATCAAAACCAAAGTGATAAGCTGGGCACTTGTGGATCACACCTGTAATACTAGCTATTCTGGAAGCAGAGATCTGAGAATTGTGGTTCAAAGCCAGCCTGGGCAGGAAAGTCCATGAAACTCTTATCCTCAATACTGCTCAGAAAAAGCTGGAAGTGGCAGTGTGGCTCAAGTGGCAGAACACTAGCCTTGAGCAAAAGTAGCTCAGGGACAGCTCCCAGGCCCGGAGTCAAGCTCCAGGCCTAGCAAAAACAAACAAACAAATATACATAGTGATATCTGAGAAAATAATAATGAAAACTAGTAGAAAGAATATATTAGAAATAGGAGTGGGTCACCTTCAGATCTTTTAAACCAATTTCCAAGTGTTCGTTAAATTTGTGTTTTATATTATGTTCTCTGAGTCAAATTGAAGCACTAACGGAGGCTTGTGTAATTCTGTGCATATAAAAAACTTCCCTAGGATATGGAAACAACCCAGATGCCCCACCACAGATGAATGGATCCAAAAATTGTGGTATCTATACACAATGGAATATTATGCAGCCATTAGAAATGACAAAATAATGGCATTTGCA